TCCTTTTTGCTGTGCTGCCATTTTGATCACATCTCAAACATACATCGTCAATCTCTTTAATTTAACATAACAGCATTGCATTTGAAGAAAAATACATTTTTCATGAAGTAGCATACTCATTTAAAAATAATTGACATTTAGTACACAACTGATTATAGTACAATAATTAACTGCATCAGCATTGTTCCTTCTAATAGCAGTGTGAAAGCAAAACAAACTATGGATTGGGAAATAAAAGCATGCCATCCAAACTGTATGTTTTTCTTTTATCAGCACAGTAACACCTTGAAAACTAATGTTAGGTCATATCAGAACTCTACAATTAAATTATAACAGCAATAAACTTTCATGTTCTAGCAGAATGACATCAAAAATATGTTTTCTTGCTCACAAAATGTCTTTAAATGCAGTGCAGAGGGCACCTATCAGACATTGCAAAAACTATCCAATGGCAGGACTGAGATAAACAGCAACACTTTTTTAATTATCTTTATGCACACTGAAAGTTGCTAAATACTTTGAAGTATTTCTTCTCTTAACTTTATATACAAATCAGCAGCAATAAGCGGATCTCTTGGGGGCTCCCAGTTGTTTTCTACCATAAGCAGACAACAAAGTTCAAAGACTGTTTCATCACAGGGATATTGGCCTTTTGGTGTACACTCTTCCATACACACAGCGACCTCCTCCATAGAAACAGGTTTGAGTCTATCCTCTGCCCTGTGCAGCTCTGGAAATGAGTACATCACCACTGGTCGACCCGATACTGCACCTCCACTTGCCCGGATTTTGTGCGAGTTCCATGTGTTCACAACATCATCCAGGTCATCCTGCATAAAATCATCAGAGTATAAATGTATGAAGCTAAATATGTAATAGTACCTTTTGCTAAAGATGAGGCTTATATTAATCAGCAGATATAGAAAGTGACCTCTAATTAAAACCAAGCAACAAGAACAAAATGGCAATTCCAAAACATTTTATTCTGTGTGTGAAATGATTCCCCAATCTATTGTAAAATTATTAATTAATGGATAAAACTTATTTCTGTAACTATACCTAAGGAAGTGTAGGGGAACAGATTCCCAAGTAATTTCAACCATTTTACATAAAAACTGATGTGCT